TTCGATGATCACATTTCCAACATAATTATTTAAGATCATTGGTTTACAGTGCATTTTCATAGTTGCTGAACTACCTTGATTGTGATATCTATGCGAGTGTCAAGTTTCATCATCCATTTCTGATCTTCTTCACCAGTTCCACCTCATCAAATATTACTTTTTGACTGTAAATGCTTGAGTGCTCTATGAAAATATTAAAATTACTATATAGTTGCCTATAATATTTGAGGAGTTCCCTCGATTTCTCATGGATCCCATCATCAAAACTCGATTTTGAAAAGAATGGGACCAATCTGGAAGCATATCCTTTCAATCATAAAAAAAATTTTGCAAATCCGTCCATAAACGACGGAGTTCTGAGGTAACAAACATAAAAAAAAAAAATAAAAAAAAAAAAAAAAAAAAAAATACAATCGAATTGAGAACCTCCTCCTTTTTTTGAAGTCGGTTAAAAATGATAATTATCACTACGTAGTAATCAACAAAGTCGCTTTATGTCCCTATATCCCTATGTACGCTTAATTCTTTAAAACTATGAGACGGTATTTTTAAGATAGAGTGATTGAGGAGGAAAGCCTTTGAGTATAAAACCATCCGTGCCACACCGGGGCGGTTATTAAAACTTCCCGCCAATTTTTTTACCCCGATATGAAAATGTTCTCGTTAACAACACAGCAACTGTGATCGCACAGCAACCACGTTTTTACTGCCATTAGATAAGTAAATATACTTACAGAAACGAAACGTAAATAATTGTAGTCTTTGTTTTAGCTTATATCATGGTCATTAGCAAACATTTCTGCCAATACCATCATCAGATAAGTGCGTAGATTTTCTGGTTTTACGCAATCCTGGCATTTGACCTCTGCAACCCATAAATAAACAAACCTGGTTTTAGCACTACGATCTTATCAACTTAACAAGTGGATGATGCTTCTATCGTGCTCATCTATACACAATTTATTTTCTTAATAGTTAATTAACTATGAGCAGTGGGTTGTACGTTAATATAAGTTCAAAATTAAATATGTTATTCGCCGAAATAAATTAGTACTATGATCGCATATGAATCCAATAAAGACTTATGTGGAAACTAGTGGGAAACAAAACAACTCTTTGAAGGTCACAAATACGACAGCTGAGAACTCTATATTCTAAAGGATTGACATATGCGTGAAATTAGTCTCAAAAAGAGTTGATTTTACAACAATGCCGCTTTTGCTTTTGAGAAAGATTTCTTAGGGAACTTCTGTCACATGTGGACAGTATTCGCTTACAAAATAATAAATCACACAACATTGAGTCACGGTACAACAATGTGCACGTGTGTTTAGAGTTTCTTCGGAAGTATGCACAAAACAGGCGTCATTATGCCTTGTAATTACCTAACGGTTACAAACCAAACAATGAAGACTTTTACTATAACATTTACTACGCAAGTTCGCACACCTCCTTGGAATACACGCCATGTTTTCTCACGGCGCGTATGTCACATGCCATTACAAACCCGTTAGAAAACTATAACATTTTGTGTGTAACCGTCTATTCTAGACTTGTTAGCAATTATAATAAAAATGGCAAAATGAAACTGTCTTCAAAGAGCGATAATAAATCAATACTTCATGGGCTTTTTTTTCATCAATTTCAACTTATTGATTGTTAAAGAAATGTGTTGTCCTATCAAGTAGGTATTACCATCACTGGTATAGGTATAGTTTCTACAAGCAAGGATAAACAAAGCTTCACTCTCGTTCCATCTGATACTTAAAATTCAGTCTCTAGCTCGCTACAGGTTAAACTGGTTGTAGGCCCAACAAAAATGTCGGGTGGGATTTCAGATAGGGCTAGCGAACGAAATGATCGTGTGTTATTCTTAGTAGGAACAAACATGGGCATTCTACTGTCGACCACCCGACATTATCCCTGAATTCTAATCTCTTGTTATCAGCGTCTCACTGCCCTCTGACATCCTCTCCGCTACGAAACTAAATACTTAACTCTAATAATAAATACCCACACTTTAAAAACTAACGGTTGATGGATTCCTTCCTACACGAAGTCAGACAATGGTTTTGTATGAAGTTAATTGATTACAATCAAAGCATGGTATCAATATGTTTGGCCTACATTGTATTGCAACACCGCGGTAATGAATCAGCGGCGTCATCGAACAGACAATTTGCATTTATTGGTGCTATCTCTTTAAATTAATGGTGATGTCTTCAGACACACTCCGTCCGCGTGTTCAGATGTTAAAACATGTCAAGGCGAGATCTGGACCTGGCTTTTTATTACTTACTTATTATTTGAGTCTTCCATAAAGAGCATACATGTGATTACTATGTTACATTTCATTCCAACAGTCTAAATCTGAATGTCTATTAGTCTCGAGATGATATTAAGTAATCTCTTGGTATATATACCACACTATTTGCGGTTTATACATAAACCAGTAAATACTAGGATTGAAAGGCAACTGAACCCACACGCTCCATGACGAATAACTTACAATTCCCGTGGGTATAATAGCTGTTACTTTCGCAAACAGTAAAAAGTATCTTAAAGACTAGATTTCGAAGTTCTTGGACAGATTTAGCTGCTCTTCTTTTAAAAGCAAATATGGACCAAAGCGGTTTGGTTTACTTCATTCGCCGAAGAGAAACCTAGAGGCACTTAAGACAAGAAACTCCTTAGCGCTAAACTTTTTGTTTTGTTTTTAAGTCTAACTCCCAAAAATACTCTAGGTAGGTGCCAGTCAGGGGTTTTTCCGCCAAGCAGACACGTAACCAGAGATCGCAAAAAATCCTTCTTGGAACTAAGTTAGGTAACAATACATTAGGAAGTTTTTCGATCACCCAAATTTAGCTGAGTGGTTTTATAGAAGAAACCTAGACCCTTTTTAAGGTATATTTTTCGTTTTTATGAATTGGATCTGCGTGCACTAGCTACCCTACCCTGCAGCTCGTATACGAATAAATATCGATACGAATAGGAAAAAATTGCGAATTCTTTAAAAGAACAAGAATTAACTAAATCAGTATAGCCAGAGAATTACGTGCGGAAATCGAAACGTAGGTATATTTTTAAGGTCACTTCACTACGAATATTTAGGTGCCAAAAAAATCTAACTACTGTTACTGTCTTTAAAAAAAGGTTGAGTCGATAAATACTTAACTTTTTTTCGCAAAACATGTATCGAAGTCTCCTACTGACCTAGAACTTGACAGACCGCTAAAATATTGCCTTGGGTAATCTTTTAGGCTAAATTTACGATTAAAACGGTAAATTGTAGTGAACAGGTACCTCTGTGGGTGTGGTCTTAATGGCGTCTAAGTAAATTAAAACAATTAGTTACTTACATTACATTATCGTTACCTATGTCCTTTCGAACACGGATAAGCAGTCAAAAGTAAAGAACTTCGCCATTTTTTTTCGTTACCTTTTTCTTTTAGCCCTACTGTTCCAAAGACAGGTTCTAAATCGGGGAAATCAGAATCAGATATTTAGTAGGAACAGGTAAACAGTAATAATGTGCAATCCTATTGAAACTTAGTTCATTTGCGCGATATTTTACACCTAAAATTAGGCAATGTACCTACATAACCCAAAAACATGTTTAGTCCAAAACGATAGCCGACTTTTTGTCACATGTAAGGGAGAGCCATGCTTGCAAGTTGCACATGCACACCAATGGCCGACCGACTCAAACAGAAAATCGGAGCGTAAAACAACACAAGCGTTTTGTTTCGCCGTGTGGTTAGCGAAGATCAAAACTTTAGCCCTATTCCAAATTTCCTCAATGCAAATATCTCTAAGTATACGCCAAAATATCGGCTACACAAATTGTAACTCTATTTAATAAAAAATGTATAATGAAGCCGAAGAATATTCCCGGGACTCCTTGCTCGGCAGCATCGCTTGCGGCTACTAAAACAACGGTACAGTTTGCCGCTTATTCAATCCACCGAGCTGTCTACATAATTAGAGCACCTACATTTTAGTACCTTAGTGTAGATAAATATTACCTAAGGTAACCAATATTACTTAATCAATAACTACTTTTATCGTCCAGACTAAATTAAGGCTTTATACATTACTGTAAACTGTAAATCATGTCTTTAATGTGTTCTTGAATTCATGTTTTACGACTACCCGATTGGTCACCATGGCAACCAATTCCTTTTTCAAAACGATATTATTTTACGATACCTATATTTTTTATAGTAGGAAAGTACCTACCAAATGCTATTTGACGTAAAAAAGTCACGGCATCATACAATATTAAGAATAAGAAGAGAAAAGTAGTTTATTTTTCATTTTTGTTTTGATTTTTCAAACATTTTTCTAAGATGTCAAAACATTTTGACATCTTAGAAACTACCCTATTAAAGTAGACTACCGTCTACGACTAAGCAGAGCAGATTCTTGCATAGTTAGGCATATACCCACCTATAATTCTGAGCAAGCAAGGAACTTATTACAGAAATCAATATAGCATCATCATCTATGAAAATTTATAATTTTATGGCATTACCTATCGAATATAAACAATTTAATTGACAAATTGCACAAGTTAATTGGTAGCCATTTATACCGGTAAATAAATTGGCAATCAAGTTATATAAATAGGTGTGTTTTACCGCTAAAACCCTAATTCACCTGCCGCTTTTATTTACACAAGTTGGCTAGAACATAGTATTATTATCACAATGCAGGTTAGGCAATCAAAATGACATTCCATAAGTTTGCGTAGGCTAAAATATACTATTACGCTATATTACATTGGTTTTAGCAAGTAGGCATAATACCCGCCAATTTTGTAAACGCCTCCGCAGTTGGATCCGATTAAAAAAAAACTACCCATACAAAAACATGTTCAACTTTCTTCGCAATGTAGAGGCATAAATAAAAAAACGCATCACGGCATCACCAAAATTGACTCGGCGGCCGAAAAAATAAAGTTGTAAGTTACGAAACAAGAAGTAAAACTTTTTTCTTACCATAAATGTAATGTAGGTGAAGTCGTAACAATATTAACGTTCCAATACAGGCGGACGAAACCCATTCTCGTCCTGGATTTCCAGTTTAGAACATCTTTTAATTCATCACTTTTTGTTCCAAACGCAGTGTAACTTGTCCCGATCACTGTTTATTATTATTTGTTGACACAAAACGAGGTTATTGCCGTTTGCTTTAACATCTGGACCTCACTCGACAGATTTCACTAGATGTAATATCTAACACGTTAACTTTAACATATAACCAACTTTATAATATGAGAAACAATAATAGAATCACGGTTATTAACAAAAGTTATAACACTTGCAGGTAAACGATGGGCATAGGAGCAAGTGGTCGACTCGATTGTATACGAAAAAAAAAACAAAACTTTACAACATCGCACACAACTTCCACGTTCAACGCGGCGTCACAGTGTGAGTGAATGGAGATACAAACAATATGCGACGCACGCGTGCGCGCGCTCTGTCTCAGGTAAATATTGCCAGCGCATAAATAATAAACTCCCTAAAACATACATCTGATTTTACATCATGTAGATAGGATACTTAAGCAAACATAATATTTTAATCTTATCATCGATAAGTTGTTTTCTGTCTTTAGCATACTACCATTAACATCATCTGTAGATACCAATAAATTGTAAATTTCAGCCCTTCAAAATAAATTGTAAAACAGCGATCATAAGTCATCATTACCAACTTTATGAGTGCTTTATTTTAAATTCGTTTTCTATAATTTTAAAATGGAAAAATTTTGATTTTTATAACTATTTTAGTGAATTTTATAATATATTTTTTATTTGGATTCTCACCAATTAAAAAAGTATTATCTCCCTACAACACCAATACCTATGTTTTTAACTATTTTCCATCAATTGAAGCAGACGTACATATTCTGGCAACACTACCAGCGTACGAAGCAGCACACTCACACAGCGAACAGCGCATTCTGATTGGAGAAGAAGTTGTCGAGCGCTTGCCTCCGCCCGCGCACCAACGTCCTTGCAGGCACGGGCCACCGACCGCAACTGCCTGCTCTAAACTATAGTTACTTGAAACTTTAACAGGTAGATACAACCTCCAGCCAGTTATACTCAGGTATATTATTCCTTATTCCTCTGAGCTTCGCCACAACATAAGCCTGTTAAATATAGGGTAGTACGTGTTACAAGAAGGTAAACAAGAGGAGTTGTAGTTTGTAGTTGATAAACTTTATATTTACCTACAAACGAGCGTGTTCATGAATATTTATTACATACAAGAACAAGACATTTATCATAAAAGTTCTGTGAAATGAGCTTTTGTATGATGCGGCATATAAGTTATCGGTTCCTATCTTGTTTGTACTTAATTAGCTGCCGCGGTACTAAGAAATTAAACGATGGCTATCAGTTTAAAAAAAGGCATAGTATGTAAGTAGGTAGGTATATAAATACGGGAATATTTATCTATTTCAATAAACAAGAACAGCTCCGTGAAGAAGGCAGTAAAATCCTCAAAATATTCAGCGACTTAGCTGCTGAAAAGAAGACCGATCTTTTCCTTTGTTAAAACGAGGTCTTATTCTGGCTGATAACGCTGGCAACGTTGTAAATAAAGTTCTTGCTTCGAAAAAAAATTCGTAGGAATGAAGACTTCTTATTTGTGTCAATTCAATTAAAAAATAATTGTGAAAAAATTTTAACATTCCTTTGATCCAAAATCCTCAAAAGGCAATGTACCAGTAAGTTCCCTAGTGTTTCAGTACTCCATGGTCAGAACTTAGAACTGATAGCTTACCATCAGGTGATACGCCAACTTGATGTTTATTAAGTAGGTACCAATTCCATCCCACTGAAATAAAATATTACCTACATATTATTCTACACACGCATAACTCGTGAAGTTTTTTTTCAAATACATTTGAAATTCTAATTAAACCTATGAACTACGTCGTTTTTTTAAATGAATTTGAAATTCGAATTTATCCTGTAGTACCTACCCAGGTCCAAAAATGATATTATTTTCTTCAACCACTTAAAACGTGGGTGGCAAACACTTGACAGTCATAAGGGGACGTTTATAAACATATTTAGGATCTTAACAACCGACCATAAATACAATAAATATGTAAATTTAAACTACATTGAGCTCAAGTATACGGACCTTATTTGATATGTTAATAACATCAACATAATAAACATATTATTTGTACGTAGGTACTGACATACGTAGGTCATAGTAACCTTAAAAGAATATTTTAAACATTTAAGAAATAAATATGTTTAACATTATCGTAAAACCAAATGAGATGTCACCAACTTAAAGAACGAAGGCGTCGTTGAAATGAAATTCGATTTGGTACAAAATATTTTTTTTTGTTTTTACCAAAACAGTTGCTTTACTTTACCAATAATCAATGTGTTGGTTTGAATGTTTGCTGATAACTCAAAAACGATTGATCGCATTTTGATACAATTAGCATAGCGACATAGACCATGACCTGCATTAACTCTAGCCACAACTTTTATAACAAGATCACGTGTAATAATTACGACAATCAATGACTACGTTTATGATTAATTAAGATACTAATAAAAATAATAAATCTCTTTTACGAATTGGCCTTACCAAAATAAGTAGGTAATTATGTAATATTTTTTGTGTGAAATATAATTTATGTTTTTAACAAATTCCTATTGCATATCTAATAACACAGTCATAATAGGTCCGTTCTGATTGTTACAGGTTAATTTCTCTATAGCTCGATACCTTTACCCAATAGAGATACAAATACCTAACGTTAAACATTTATTCATAAAAGTAGGTAGGTAAGTAGTATTTTTTCCTACGTTTTTTACTTACATTATAATATATCTTATCTAGTCGTAACGTAATTCGAAAGACACTTGCCATTACTTATTTTTCATCTAACCATAAGCTTATATCACTTTCTTTCCAGGAGAAAAAAAAACAATAAAGTTCTTAGTCATCATCTTGAGATATTAAAACCATTTTTTATCTGTGTAAAGAGTAAACAAAGATGGCGGACCATTGAAAAGATAAACAATGTTTTGCGTAGGTCTACGTATGTTTGCAAAACTTGCATCTCCTGTGTTGTGAATGTGTGGGGCGATAGCACTATTATTTATGTTTTGTATAAACACAATCTTGCGAACACATATGAATATTGTCAGACTGCCTGGAGCGTTGTATTTTGCCTTGACATCAACGTTAAATTCATTAACTTAATATGTAATTGAAAACAAATGGGCGGAATATATTTACGTCTAACAGGTATAGACAGTAAGCCGATTATGGAAGGTGATTATGAAAGCCTATTGACGTTTGAAATATATGTATTCTTCAGCATTTTAATCTGTTCTAAAAATTCGTTACCCCACATCACTTGAAATATAAATACAAATAAGTTTTGTCTATGATAAAGAGCTAGAAACGTAATCCGTCCATTATCCCTGTCTTAGTAAATAAGTCAGCAACTCTAATTATGTATCAGTCACCGAGTTACTCTGGCCCCCATATTTGGTCCCCTTCACATTACCCAATCTCGACAACCGCTGACGAAAGACAAGGGTTTAGGAAGTCCTATTATCGCACCAATGCCCTTATCTATCCTCTTCCTTTCCCTTGCATTATTGTAAAGTAAAATACTGTCCCCAAAAAAGTTGTAACTTATTACTCTGTTAGACTCTCATGTCTAAAGAATGTTATGGCACCTATTATTATTAACCATTGATAAATGTCGTAGCATACCAGGATAACTACATATGTACATAAACCAAACTAATAAAGACTTTTCAAATCTATTAGCACTTAGCAGAAACGAATACACGCATTTTAAAATCAAATATATTTAATAGGTATTTGTTGTTCAAATTTCACAAGATCGTATAAATTATTCAAGTGGGCTTAAACAGATGTGATTTTGACCATCTTTGTTATAATCCCCGCTATCGTGGAAGACCTACACAAACTACTTAAGTACACCTACACCGCTATAATAATTAGCGCCTTCAACATTTGTAAAGTGTCTTCAAATCAGCCTATCAGTTATGAGGCAAGACTGCTTGGCTCCAAAAACTGCAGCAAGGTCGTGGCCTTCTCCGTTATCAGACCTTTTATCAGTTCATCGCGGTCCCCAATTTCCACCTCTTTACCAGATAAGATACCACATCAATATCAATCAGTGATACCATACATAAAAAATCTCCAACCTTGCCAGATTTAGTGTCGCCGCCTCATTTACATTTTGAGTTTGTTTATGTATAAAATGAGGTTCAAAGCGGAGTTAGAAGTGGAGTTAACTAGCTTAACTGGTTGTGCGTATTACGTAGTTTAAATAGAACAATATTTGGTAACAGTGGAGCTACTAAACTTTTTTGCTGTCGGACATACAGATTTTATTTTGTTCTAGTAGCCGAGTGAGGAACTAGTTTTTGAAGCTTATATTGAAGGTTTTATCAAAAATAGTACAAACACACGAATGACGAGGGTAACGAAAAATAAAAAAAAAGTCACTAAAAGATCTGTCTACAGCAAACAAGCCCTGGTGGGCGATAACGGGTTGTAAATGATAAAAATAATGATGATTGAAAATAACGGGAGCCTGAGGCAAAAATCATTTTTTATAAAAATGATAACCAGAAAAATATCTATTAACTAAAAACTTAATGCATGTAATAAATCATGTGTAACACTTATTAATTGTTTCAGAGCACGCCACCGGAAAGCATCATGGTGTCGAAATTCCTAAGTGACAGTTCGAAGTGTAACGGAATTCGATGCGCGTGGGCAGCTTGCGCGGACGCCGCGCGCCGCAACAATATGCACTTGAGAATTGTGCGTACGAGTTCATCTTGCCTTATATCGTAAGTATTGTAAATTGAAAATAGAGATCAGATAGCCTAAAGCTAAAGTATTTTTTTGATCCAATTTTATTTATACCACATTTTTCTTTTTATATAAGTTCTGTGGTTTTTTGCTTCCCACGTGAAAAAGACGTGGCTTATGTAAGTTTATTTTATTTAACACGTATGAAGTATATCTTAATTTTTTTATGTAGGTAGTGTATTAATTTGGCAAAAGAAAATTGTCTAACATAATATTTTATTTGATACACTTTTTTGTTCCACAATTGTTGAGTTAAGCAAACAAAAAGTTATGTAAACTTGTTGTTCCATCTCTGGGTTTAATGTGTAGGTATGCCAAATTTTGTTTGTAAACACACACTTAAAAAACACCTTTAATAGAATTTTTCATGTAATCTGGTTACTTTGCAATATTTAAAGTAAATATCACTTAATACCAAGATTTTCATATGGATCAATTTGTAGCATAGCTACACGTAGTATCAAAAAGCAATCATAACACATTTAGCATAAGGATTAAAATTATTTAAAGATGTTAAATAGTATAAATAGTAATAGTAGTGATGTTTTTGCGTCTGTACTAGGAACAAAACAGACTGAAGCC